ACAAATAATAAAGGAACAATTAAAATAACATCATTGTCACAATCAGATTAATATGTATTAAAAAATATTGGTAATATCAAGTATTGGCAATTCTAAAAGGAACTGGGTATTCGTAGACTCTTTTTCTTCATCTTAAAGCAGTCTTGTTAGCATATTTTGCAATGCTGGTTTGGTGGAAGTGTATTCTTTTAGCCTTTTTTTGTCTGGAAAACTCATTTCACCTCCCATTTTAATGGAGAGCCTCGCTGGGTAGAGCAGTCTTGGTTGTAGGCCTTTGCTTTTCATGACTTGGAGTATTTCTTGCCATTCCCTTCTGGCTAGCAGCGTTTCTGTTGAGAAGTCAGCTGCTAGCCATATTGGGACTCCCTTATATGTTACTACCTCTTTCTCCCTTGATGCCGTGAGGATTCTGTTTGTCTTTGATATTTGCCATTTTAATGATGATGTGCCTTGGAGTGGGCCTCATTGGGTTCCTCTTGAATGGGATCCTCTGTGCTTCCTGGACTTGTGTGACTTTTTCTCTCCTCAAATTAGGGAAGTTTTCCATCATTACTTTTTCAAACAGTTCTCTATCCCATGCTCCTCTTCTCCTCCCTCTGGTATCCCTATTATACAGATATTATTATGTTTCAGATTGTCCTGCTTTCCCCTAAACGCCTCCTCATTCTTTTTGAGTCTTTTTTCATGTTCTTGCTCTTTCTGGGAGATTTTTCTACCTTGCCTCCAGCTCGCTGTTTCGATCCTAGGCTTCATCTAGCTTGCTTTTGATTCCTTCTACTGTGTTCTTCAACTCAGAAATTGTATTCTTCATTTCCTCTTGTCTCTTATTGATAGTTTCTATGTCCTTTTTAATGCTGATATAGTTTGCAGTAAGTTCCTCATAGTTTCTCTGTAGTTTTTTGTAATTCTTTCTGAGCTCACTGAGCTCATTGAGCTTCCTTAGAACTGTTGTTTGGAACTCAGTATCTGATAGTTTACTTGCCTATATTTCATTTAGTTCTCTCCAGGGATTCCTCCTTTCCCTTCAACTGGGGGGTATTTCTTTATCTTCTCATTATTTGTGAGACTCTTCTCTTTCGCTTCTGCTTCTTAAATTGATCTGTCTCGATTTCCTGACTTTGTGGTGTGAACTTCTATGGTAGGAGACTGCTGTTTTTACTTTATGGATCTGCCTCTGATGATGTCAGATGTCGTCCCTGTCTGACCTTAGGCAGTCTGTTTGAGACTTTCAGGAATCTACTGTTTCTGGCTGTCTTTTTCAGCTGTTAATCTAGTCACTTTGCACTCAGCAGGCTGGCTCAGACAGCTCAGGGAAGTGGTCTGCCTGAGCAAGATGGCTGCTGCCGTATGGGGGAGGAGTCAGCACCAGGATCCCACCGGCTACTCTCTCCATTCTCTCCCCAAGGCCTCCATCCACAGTCTCTCCTCAAGTGTCTCCAGACCACTCTGCATCCCCTTTAGCCACGGATCTACTATCTGTGGCTGCCACTCTGCACTCAGAAGGCGGCTTAGGGAGCACAGGGCGGGGTGGAATCCCACCTGAGGGCGGGGCTGGTGGGTCCTCTGATGCTGCTGTCACTCAGCGGGAGTGGTCTCTGCCTGAGCAAGATGGCTGCTGCCGCATGGGGAATGAATCAGCACCAAGATCCTGCCGGCCACTCAGTTCTCTCCCCAAAGCCTCCTTCCCCAGTCTCTCCTCAGGTGTCTCCAGCCCACTCTGCTCCCGCCTTTGCTGGAGACCAGGGTAAGAGGCTGCCAATACAAATTTGTGTGGTGGCTCTTTAAATGGCTCTTTGCATCTTCGGCCGCCTGTCTCTGGCAGAGAGCAACCCTGCCGCTTTTCGCAGCTGCCTGTTTTTTGTGTACTTTTTGGGCTCTGGTGCTGTAGGCTGGAGATCCCCACTTTTGGTTTAGACCCCGCTCTTCTCAGGGAGATCCAACTGGCCATTTCAATATCCTTCTGGTGCTGCCGCCCGTGGGCGCCCTGCCCGTCTTCTTGAGCCTCCATTGCATTCTTTACCAATTAGATTGCACTAAAGCCAATCATTCTGTCTCCGAGGTTACAAGGCTCCTCTCTCACTTTGTTCAGCTGTTTGTTCCAAGTGATTTCTCCACAAGTTAGTTGTAATTCCAAGTTGGACCTGGGAGGAGGTCAGCGTGACTTCCACTCACCCCTCCGCCATCTTGTGAATCCCACTTTTATTCTTTATAGCTCTTCTATAGGGTAGGTATTATCAGAGCCACTTATTTTTCAGGTAAGGTAATCCTAAGGGACACAGTGCCCAGAGTCCTAGAGCTTCTCAGGAACCTACAGAAATGTTTTAAAATGAAAAAAACGCTGGCTCCAAAATGCAGAAACTTCAAACTAACCCAAATTAATTAATGTTTAATCAAATACCTACAAAATGTCATCAGTTGTTAATTTATGCTATTACTTCTGTGTCCTTGTTAATTATTAAATGTAGTGTTCATAACAATTTCATTACATTTGGAAATAATTTTTAGGTTGAATTTTTTAAAAACTCTGTGAGTACTTCAAGAACCCAAGTGAATGCCAGAGTGCTGAGAACTTGCAGATAATGATACTACAAATGAATTACTCTTAGCCAGATAATTTCCAAGGCTTACAAAAATAGGTTCATTATCATTTCACAATAAGATGTTACATTTCATGTAGCAATTCTGTGTGTTTCAAAAATTGATTTGGGGAGGAACCTCCAAAAGTAACAGCACCTTATCCTAGGAAAGTCTTAAAATGGCCTTTGACATAATTAGCCCCATTTTACAGATTTAATTCCATGAGCTCCAGTTTCTGGGTCCCACAAGTCAACCTTCCCCAATTCCTTCTGGTTAAACCCTCCCACCATCCTACTCCCTCATTCTCTCCCTACCCCCATCACCACCAAGTTCAGCTTTGGCCTGGACACACATAGGAGACGGGGGAGAGGGAGAGGGAGGGAGAGAGGCAGACAGACAGACAGACAGACAGAGAATATGTATACAGGAATGGTCAGGCAAACTAACATTTTAGAGGCCTGGGCCTAAGGCGCCTTTCCTCTCTTGACTTTCTCTCCACTGTCCCAAAGATCCTTCTAGAATCTTGAAAACTAGATCTGGAATGAGAAAATCAGCTATCCCCAAAATTGCCACAAGATGGTGCCACAAGCACATAAGTAGGCTTCCATGGGGTCCCTTCTGGGAGACAAGAATCACCAGGAAGGAAGCCAGGAGCCCCAGCACTCCTCCCCAGGCATCTCCTCCTCAGGTGCCACTAGCCCCTTCAGGGCAACCCACATGGCTCTGTTTGCACCACTGTGGCAGACACAAAATTTTTCCTCCTACCCCCTCTCTCTGTCCCTATCTCCTCGTTGTTTTGTCTCCCCTGTTCACTTTCCAGTCTCCCTCTGTCTCTGTTTCTGTCTCTCTTCCTAACCCCATCTCTCCCAATCTGTCTCTACTTTCATCTTCTTCAACAAACCTAATACATCCTCTTAGTCAACGAGTTAGTTTTAATAGCCAGTTGCTGGTATCTATTATATGGCAGACACTGCCAGTTGCTGCAAAGCAAGTTGGACTCCCAGTCCAGAGGAGCTAGCTCCCAGCAGAGGACTGTGACAAGCTAAGACCCTTTTATCCTGAGCCTCTTCCCTGTCCCCTCCTGGGTGAGTGGCAGAGAAGCTAGAGCACTAGGGGTAGGGACTTTGTCCCCTCACCCCACCACCATACAGTGGAGTCAGGCTTGGTGGAGCAACAGAAAGCCCTAGGATCTTTTTTATTTTTTTATTTATTGATTTTTAGTGAGAGAGATTTGCCATTCCACTTATTTATGCATTCGTTGGTTGAGTCTTGTATGTGCTCTGACCGGGGACCGAACCCACAACCTTGGTATATCGGGATGTTGCTCTAACCAACTGAACTACCCTATCAGGAAGCCCCAGGACCTTGAGAATCTCTTTATTTTAAGCCAATCCCACCACCCCATGATCCGCACTGATGTAGTGAACATAGGTTCTCTTCCCAGCTCCACCCCAGATCCCTCTGGGAAGGGCCTGCTGGGCCTCGGTCTTCTCATCTGTGAAATGAGCTCTGTGGGTCAATCACTTGCTCCCTTCCAGCTGGGGATCCTGAGGTTCTCCAGAACTACCCCGCCCTCCCCGCCCCGCCTTGGCTTTGCAGGTTCATCTCCTGCTCCCAGCTTCTCCTTACATTGGCTCCACTTAAAGAATTGCTGTCCTGGCTGGTAGTGTCACTTGATTTAGGATGGGAACCAAGACTCATTCACCAGAAAGACCCAGAAATGTTCTTCCAGCCTCCAATACATCCACAAACATTCCAGAAGCTCTACCTCCTCACCACTCTCAGTTCAGAGTTTCTCATTTAAAGGCCCCACTGAGGAGCTAACCAAGGAGGCCTGTGTGAGTGACCCAGTGACTATTTTCTCATCAGTACTTCTATCACTTGACTTTGTTAATTTACATCCCAGAGCAACACCCCATGTGCTGGGCTTTGTGTGGGAGTGGGTACATATTTACCCCATCCCATTCCCTCCCTTCTTTCTCCAGTCTCATTTATATTCCTAATGGGTCAAAAATGTACATGTAAAAAAACAAAATTATAAGGATACTTGTAATTCCTTTATAATCTCAGAATGAAGGCTTTTTACTTGATTCAAATTACAAATGCTTTGACCTAGCAATTTCCCTTCTAGTTTATCCTACAGATAACCTCAACCACAGTTTAATTGGCATACAGTGCAACATTGCTTGAAATAGCAAAACTCAAGACATACTCTAAGTGTAAGAGAAGTTAAATTGTGATACATTGATACAATGGAGTTACATGTAACTACAAAACTGAATGGAGAAGCCTGTGTGTGCTAATGTGGGGAAAAAAGAAAACCCTCAAGATTTTTAATGTTAAGTGAACAAAGCAACATGTTTGGTATGTTGCAATTTGTGTAAAAAGAAACTGCAGAGGATATATCATGTGACTGTACAAGCTATTCAAAATTTAACATGAAATATTTTAATATATAAATACAGCATAAAGGGTCTGGCACAAATAACACCCTTTTAGTTACAAAATCATAAGCATGCAATTATGTAACATAACAATATCACACTCAAGCCCACCATATGACATTTTAGGTGAAATGCTCAGATTAAAACTATAAATTGACCCTACCAACCACACTGGAACAGGCCCTACTTCTGCGGCACCCTGTATTATAATGTAGAGGCAGTGCCTCGTCCATCACAGGGACACTCCTAGCGCACAGTCACTAGTACCCTCCTTGTACTTGAGGTTCTAGTTCTCCAAACCGGAGGTGCCCAGTTACTTCTGTGTCCTCAGAGGGGCTTTCCATTCTGCCCAATGTTTTCCCTTTTTTAAAGTTTTATTGATATATTTAGGAAGAGAAAAAATTTGTTGTTCCACTTATTTATGCATTCATTGGTTGATTCTTGTATGTGCCCTACCATGGGCTCAAACCCACAACCTTGGCTTATGGGGAGGAAGCGCTAACCAACTGAGCTACCTAGCCAGGACTTCCCAATTTCTTTTCTTCTCTCCTTGCCCACACCTATCCACGTAGCTCCAAGCCTCAGGCATCACCTCCTCAAAGCTGTCTTTGACAGACACCCTCGCCCTGCTAGGTGCCCCTTGTTCTCCTGCAGGGACTGTAAGGTCTGCTCAGTCCTTGGAAGCCCAGGGGCCCTGGAGCCCATGAGCTGCATTTCCTGGAGTGCTGGTCTTGCCTGAGCAGCAGAGTCCCAAAAGGGGGTTATTAATGGCTGGCAGCAGGACTTGCTCTCCACCACAGACACTTAGGGGAACTTTCAGTTTCCCCTGATCCTTCCACACCCACACAGACTCTGAAGAGTTTCGGTTTCCTTTACGCTTTCACATTAAGCCTTCACAGGAAGGTGCCTGGGCTGCGCCATTTAACCCTCAGTGAGCCCTGTGCTGTAGCAATGGAGGGGACAGAGAACTGTTCATGTGACGCTCATGGTTCCATCAGGAGGGCAGACACTTGTGCAAGGAACAGTGACACAAGCCGTGGGGAATGGGCACAATGAGAGCCCGCCAAGAGGAGGGGGGAGCCAGGCAAGAGGGAGAGAGCAATGCCCCACTAGGCCTTGGGGTGGCAGGAGTGTGGCCATGTGGGACAAGGGGGAAGTCTTCGGAGCAGACAGCCTGGTTGGGCTGACAGCCTGGTTGGGCGGCCTCCAGGTGAGTGGAGAGGGCAGAGCATGGGCAGCAGGCTGAGGTTCTGGCCCTCAGGGAGGGGGCCCTGGAGCTGCAACCTGAGCCCATGCACGTGCAGTCTGTGCTGGGAGGAGGCAAAAGAGGAGGGACAAGGCCCTGGCAGGAACCAAAGGACAAAGTCTAATACCAAGGAAGCTGGAGAGGGCCCTGTGGGAGGTCTGGTGCCAGAGGCTGTTTCTCAAAGGAAGGCTCAGGTTTCTGTGGGGGACTTTTCCACAAGCCTTTTCAGGAAGTGAGATTCAGTTCTGAGGAATGCAGGAGTAAAAAGTCCCTCCTCTGGGGTGCCTGGGGCCTGGGTTGGAACAGTGAAGCAGAAGTCTCCAGGCCAGAACTCCATGCAGGTTTCCTTGTTTCCTTCCCTTTGGCCAGTACAGAAAGTGAGCCGAGGTGTAACAGAAGGGGAGGCACAGACCTGCCCTAACTCCTCTCCTGAATGGGGTGGCTCCACCCCGTCTCACAGCCCTGCTCCCGCTCTTCCCTGGCACACCTCCTCTATCAAGAGGAACAGTGCTGGCTCCTGCCCAGAGGCCTTCAGCACAAAGGGGATCTATGGGTGATTCCAGAGCATCAGGAGGGCTTGTGTCAGCCTTTGGGGCCCTGGTCCCTGGCCACCATCACCAAGGGATCATCCAACACTGTACCCTACTGCTTTCCAAGTCATTTGAGTTTTCAAAGCGCTGGTAGGAAGCACAGAAGAGCAGGGCTCTCTTCATGGTACCCTAGGCCCCAGCCTGGCCCATCAGGCATGCAAGACAGAGCTGTCAGTCAGGTTAAGAGGTGTTTAGGGCCCAGGGAGGAGCAGGCCCCACTCTTTCCCATCCCAACCCCCACTGGCCTGGACCTGGACTATAGCCTAGAAGGCAGGCCCTGCCTGATCCCCAGATCCCTCTGGCTGCAGGGATCTCTCCTTGGTGGTTGCCTCCTTCTCCATACCCCACCACCTATACACACACACACACTCTGGAGCTGGGAACCTGAGCCACGAGCTTTGCTCCCTCACACTGGGACCCAGCCAGCTGCTGCCAAGTTGTCTCTGTGGGCCCTGCCTCTCTGATCACACAGGCAGTATTAGCAGAGCAGGCCTGGCGCTCCTGTCATTGTGCTGTGTACCCAGTTCAGGACTGGGTCCTTGGCAAGGGACTGGGGTGGGCAGGGCAGCATGACTCAGCCTCCATTCACTGGCGCTTAGCTGGGTCTGAAACTTCTCAGGGACTCACTAATCTGAGGCGCGGAGCCAATGCTTGTTCCCCCATGACGCCCCTGGCTTGGTGCGAGGCTTGGGCTGGGCTACGGACGGTCAGCCAAGGCTGCTACTTCAGGGCCCTGAGGACAGCCTCCAGTTTCATGGCCGTTGCCAAGTCACCCTTCACCTTCAGCCGCCCACTCATGTAGGCCCCCAGGGGCCGCAGCTCCCTGCACAACAGGGCCCACAGGTCCGCCTCAGCCAGCTCCACCTCCACGTCAGGGATGCCATCAGGCACCCCGTGTCCCACTCTCCCTTGCCCTGTGGGGAGAAAGAAAAGCAAGTGTGAGTAGGGGGACAGCTACATGGTGGGAGAAAAGGGGGTTAGCATGTCCCACTGGGAGGAGTAGAGAGTAGTGGTTAAGCATTCAGGTTCTAATACCTGGGTTCAAGTCCTATTGGCTATGTAACTGCTCAGAGTCTCAGTTTCCAAACTGGTGAAACGGGGATGGTGACAGCCCCTAAATCATAGGCTCATGATGAGAAGTAGGTGAGATAACGCACAAAAAGTACTCAGCACAGAGCCTGGCACATAGCAGGCCTGCAGTATATGCAGGGCTGTTGGTACAGGAGGCTTGGCTATCTGAGTTGCCCTGCTGATGAGGACAGGGTGGGGAGACGAAGGCTAGGGTAATCACTGTCTGCACATGGTGTCTGCGCCTCTGACTGCTCTGGGTTTATTTACCCTATACTCTTTTTGGGCGCAGGCATAGTCTAAAAGAGGACCCAGGGGAGGGGGGAGGGGCTACAAGCAACCTGGGTGGGAAAGAGAGGGCAGGGAGGGCATGCACCTGTAGTGAGGTCCAGGAAGTAGATGCTCTGGGTGCCATCAGGCAGGATGACATTGAACTGGTAGCAGGCCCCGACTTGGCTGACCAGGGTCTCAGACAGGTAGGGCTGCAGAGCGGTCAGCAGCCCCTCAGCCACAGGCTGCTTCAGGCTGGGCCCAGCACCAATGTGAGGGACAGGCAGCTCAACTTCACTCACCATCTCCAAGGTGTCTGTGGTGGAGGAGCCCACAGGGTTGGGGAGAGAAGCAGAGAGGGGAGGTCAATTTGCTGCCAAGGCCAGGATCACTGGCCTCCATACCCTTGTAGCTGTTCCCTCTTTCATCCCCTTCAGGTCTGGGTTCAACTTCCTCCTCTGTTAAGAAGCTGCTCTTGAGTTTTCAGCCTTAACTCCCAAGCCCCATTTCTAAGGTACTCCAGTCTTGAATGTAAATCTCTTTTGTGGATGGTGTTGCTTCCCGCTATGCAGTCTACCAAAGGCCTGCATGCAGTCCCGAATACCTGGGCTCTTTCCACCGCCTGAGCTCTGGATAGCTCCAGAATCGCAGTAGCCGGACAGATAGGCAGGGTATGGACTATACAAAGGTGTTTGGTTAAGGGAGCAAATAGCAAAACTCAGCCTGTGCTGGACACCAAGCAGAGTGTCCTGCTGAGCCCCCACCCTTTTCTGGAGGCTCCTCACCTTGCCCCAGGGGCAGGGCACCTCCTGCCACTGAGGACACGCCCGCCCCCAGAAGGTGGGGAGCAAGCTGCTGGAGGGGGCTGTCCTGGGGCGGCTGCAGCACAGCCTCTACTGCCAGCTCCACACGGTCCACCTCGAGACCCCAGGCCCTGGTCACATCGTTGATCTCCAGCTGGAGGACAATGTGGGGATAAATGGAACTCACTCAGCACGTCTTCCTGGAACAGATTCTTTGGATAGGCTGGTATAGCCACACATGGACATGGCGACACATGAGGCACCACACTTGCCCTTAACAAGTTTCCTCCTGGGAACACAGGCACGAGACAATTACAACTCAGCTGTGGGCTGCTGGCAGTAAGCACTCAGGAGAGGAAGAGGAAAGACATGGGGCAGTAAGTTCTCCAGGTGAAGGGGCATCAGAGAAAGGAAGGCCCTTCGGGGCAATGGGAACAGCATGTACACAAACCCAGACAGGAGAACCTGGAATATTCTGGAACTGCAAGTAACCATAGCTCCTTCAGTTACATACTCAAGTGAGGGCTGGGAAACGAGAGACAGCTGAGGGGTATGAGGTGGCTGCTCCTGCTCACCTGGATTTATTTTGAGGTGCAAAGAGCCCCAGTAGGAGTTTAGCCGGGAGTTGACAGAGCAGACTTGGTTGTTGGAAAGATTCTCTTGTTGCCATGTGGACACTGGGTTGGAGGAGCTGACGGTGGAGGCACAGAGACCAAATAGGATGTTGTTTCAAAGTGCCAACAGAAGCCCTGGCTGGTGTGGCTCAGTGGATTCAAAGTGCCAACAGAATTGATGTGAATCTGGTGTCAGGCAGCCAGGCAGCCATGGAGCCAGGATATACCAAGGAAGGAGCACAACTCTGTAAACTCTATGAAGCTATAGCAAGACACCAGAAAAAGAGAACCACTAGGCTAGCTGGCTGCTCGGATGTGCGATGACAGAGAAGGCCGAGAGGAATCAGACAGAGAGGAATCAGACAACTCAGGTTTCTGGTGTGGGTCATAAGTGTGGCGGTCCACCTAGGAGGACACACAGGGGGCGACACAGAATTAGGAATGGGTAGGGGAGGGATGATCATTTTTTAAAATATATTAAGCTTGAGGTGTGCATGGCACAGCCAACTGTCCACTAGGCAGTTGAATAAATGGGTCCAGGATGCAGGAGAGAGTGGGGCTGGAGCAGAGTGGTGTGAGTAATTAGCGTCCAGAGGGAGCAAAAGCCACAGCTAAATGAGATCTACCCAGGAGGTCACAGATGAAAACAGGCCATTGACAGAAACCTGGACACTGAAGAACAGGACAACAAGGAGTAACAACGGTAACCAGAAGGAAGGAGGAAATCCAGGGTGTGGAATAATGGAAGCCCAGAAAAAGCAGACAATCCATCTAGACTAAGAGAAGGATGGGTGCACAGAGGCAAAGGCTGCTACCAAGGGAAGAAGGGGAAGGACAGAAAAGTGCCCTCTGCATTAGCAAGAGTGAGTTCACCATGATGTCTGTTTTAGGAGCCTGGGAGAAGCCTAGACTAAAGATAAGAAAAAAGGAAGGAAAGAGAGGAGAGGTATAAGGACAAGAAGAGAGGATGAAAGGATCATGAGAGGATAAAGGGAGCGCTGTCCTGGGCCCAGAGCACTGTTGGTGCAGGGATGAGCCCAGACAGAGGAAGCAGATGCTTCCCATGAGGCAGAAAAAACAGCACAAATCCTGATGAGTTTGTAGGCGTGATGCTGGAGGATCCTGAAAGAGTTCTTGCCCTAGAGTTTTTCTCCTGAGCTTTAGGAGGCCAGGCCAGCTTCACAGAGTGAAGGATGAGGATGGGAAGGCTGAACCAGGGCAGTGAGGGGTGGCCTGGAGCAGCTAAGGAGAGTCCAGCAAGTAAGAGGCAGAGGATGTTCAATACCTCCAGATGAAATGTAAGCAAAAGGAAAGTGAGAGAGAAAAATGTATGCCAAAACTAGGACTTAGGGGATATGCAGGTTTCCCCAAGATTTCATTTTAGCCAGAGACACTGACCCCACTTTACCAGTGGCCAGCTCAGCCTGGGCATGGGCCCTAAATGACTCTAACATCCCAGTGTGAGACTGCCTGCCTCTCTTGGGTTTGTGCACCAAAGCCAAGAGGAACAGGCCAAGATCGATTTTCTCTTCCTAAATGTACGTTTAAATGGAATGGGGTTCCATAAATAAAAATTCTTATCAACTTGTTATCTGGGTTATATAAAATTGAGCTCAAAAAATGAACTTAGGAGAAGACTAGACTAACTAAGTGAGAACTTACACAAAAAGATAGAAATCATAAAAAAAGGAGCAGTCAGTAATGAAGAATACAATAACTGAAATGAAGAATACATGAGGTGGAATCAAGAGCAGATTAGATAGAGGATGGAATCAGTGATTTAGAACATAAGGTAGTGGAAAACACCTAACTGGAACAGCAAAAAGAATTTCAAAAAATGAGGACTGTTTGAGGGACCTCTGGGACAATATCAAGCATAAAAACATTTGCATCATAGGGGAACCAGAAGGAGAAGAGAAAAAAGCAAGATATTGAAAACCTATTTGAAGAAATAATCATAGAAAACTTCCCTAACCTGCAGAACTAGACATACAAATCCAGGAAATGCAGGGAGTCCCAAACAAGATGAACCCTAAGAGGCCCACATCAAGACAAATTTAATTAAAATGCCAAAGGTTAGAGACAAAGAATCTTAAAAGCAGCAAGAGAAAAGCTTCTACATGGGAGCTCCCATAAGATTGTCAAATGATTTCTCAACAAAAACCTTGCAAGCCAGAAGGAATTGGCAAGAAATATTCAAACTGATGAAAAGCAAGTACCTACAGCCAAGATTATTCTACCCAGCAAGACTATCATCTAGAATCGAAGGGGAGAGAAAGTTTCCAAGACACGAAAAAGCCCAAGGAGTTCATCACCATCAAACCAGTATTATTACAAGAAAGGTTAAAGGGACTTCTTTAAGAAGAATAAAAAAAGAAATTAAAAATATGAATAATGAAATGGTAATAACTACATACCTATCAATAATTACTTTAAATGTAAATTGATTAAATGATCCACTCTAAAGATACAGGATGGCTGAATGCACATGAAAACAAGACCCATACATATCCTGCCTAAAGGACACCCACTTCATATCAAAAGACACAAATGGACTCAACAATAAAAATAAAGTAAAAAAAAGTGTGGAGATTCAGAACAGGCTTAATTAGATATAGAGAAATAAAGAAATACATCATCCCTTAAAAAAAGACACATACAGACTGAAAGTAAAGGTATGAAAACAGGTATTTCACACAAATGGTAACAAAAAAAAAAAAGCTGGGGTACTATATTTATATCCAACAAAATAGACTTTAAAACAAAGGCTATAACAAGAGACAAAGGAAGACATTTCATAATGATAAAGAGATCACAAGAGGATATAGTGGGAGCACCTAAGTATATAAAGCAAATATTGACAGACATGAAGAGGGAAATCTATAGTAGTACAGTCATAGTAGGGGACTTTAATACACCTTTGATATCAATAACATCATCCAGACAGTAAATCAACAAGGAAACAGCAGCTTTCTATGCTACATTAGACCAAATGGACCTAAAAGATATTTTTAAGAACATTTCATCCAAAAGCAGCAAAATATACATTCTTTTCAAGAGCACATGGGACACTTTCCAGGATAGACCACCTGCTGGGTCACAAAACAAGACTCAATAAACTTAACAGGATTTAAATCATATCAACCATCTTCTCTAAACACAATGGTATGAAACTAGAAATGAATTACAAGAAGAAAACCGAAAAACACACATGCATCGAGGCTAAATAACATGTTACTATACAATAAACGGGTAAACAATAAGATCAAGGAAGAAATAAAAAAATATATTGAGACAAAAATGAAAACACAACAACTCCAAATCTGTGGGACACAGCCAATGCAGTTGAAGGGGAAAATTCATAGCAATACAGGCCTACCTCAAGAAACAAGAAAAATCTCAAAACAATCTAATCTTTCACCTAAAGAAGCTAGAAAAAGTTAAATGAAGTTGATAAACCTTTAACCAGATTCATCAAGAAAAAAAATGAAAGGACCAAATAAATAAAAGCAGAAATAGAAGTGACAACTGACACCACAGAAATACAAAGGATTTTAAGAAAATATTATGAACAACTATATCCCAACAAATTGGACAACCTAGAAAAAAATGGATCAATTTCTAGAAACATAAAATCTTCCAAGGCTGAATCAAGAAGAAACAGAAAATGGGAACAGATCAGTAGCGACTACTAAAATCCAACAAAATCAAGTCAGTAATCAAAAACTCCCAACAAACGCAAGTCCTGCACTGGATGGCTTCAGAGGTAAATTTTATCAAACATTCAAAGGAGAAATAACACCTCTCCTTCTCAAACTATTCCAAAAAACTGAAGAGGACGGAAGGCTCCCAGACTCATTTCATGAAGCCAGCATTACCCTGATACCAAAACCAAAGACAGTAGAAAAAAAAATTTTTTAACCACTAATCCATGGTAAAAATAGAAATAGAAAATCCTCAACAAAATATTAGCAAACTGAATTCAGCAATACATTAAAAAGATCATACACTATGATCAAGTTAGACTTATTCCTAGGAAGCAAGGATCGTTCGATAACTGCAAATCTATAAACATTATATATCGCAAACAAAATGAAGGATAAAAATCATATGATCATATCAATAAATGCAGAAAAAGCATCTGACAAAACCCAACATCCATTTATGAAAAAATCCCTTGGCAAAGTGGGAATAGAGGGAACATACCTCAACATAATAAAGGCCATAATATGACAAGCCCACAGCTCTCATCCTACCCAGGAGGGAAAAGCTAACAGCATTCCTTTTAAGATCATGAACAAGACTGTCACCACTTTTACTCAATATAGTATTGGAAGTCAACACAACAATCAGATAAGAAAAAGAAATAAAAGGCATCCAAATTGGAAAGAAGTAAAACTGTCATTATTTGCAGATTACATGATACTGTATAGAGAGAACCTTAAGGTTCCACAAAAAAAACTGTTAGACCTAATCAATGAATTCGGTAAATTTGCAGGATACAAAATTGATATTTAGAAATTGGTTTCATTTTTATACACCAATAACAAACTACCAGAAAGAGAACGTAAAAAAATCCCATTTAAAATTGGATCAGAAAGAATAAAATACCTAGGAATACATTTAACCAAGGAGGTAAAAGACTTGTACTTGGAATACTATAAGACACTGAAGAAAGAAATTGAAGAAGATATAAATAAATGGAAGCATATACCCTGCTCATGGGTAGGAAAAATTAAGATCATTAAAATGGTCGTACAACCCAAAGTAATCTAAAGATTCAGTGCCATTCTTGTCAAAATACCACAGGCATTTTTCACAGAATTAAACAAATAATGCTAAAATTTATCTGGAACCACAAAAGACACCCCAATAGCCAAGGCAATCCTGAGAAAGAACAAAGGTGGAGGTATCATGCTACCCGATACCAAATTACACTATAAGGGTATTGTAATGAAAGCAGCATGATACTAATATAAAAGCAGACACATAAATCAACAGAAGAGAGAGCCCAAAAATAAACCTACAACTTTATGGTCAATTAATATTTGACAAAGGAGGCAAGAACATACAATGGGGTAAAGACAGTCTACTCAATAAATGGTGTAGGGAAAATTGGACAGAAACATGCAAAAAAAAAAAAATTAAACTAGACCATGTTCTTACACCATATAGAAGAATGAAATGGATTAAAGGCTTCAATGAAAGATCCAAGACCATAAAACTCCTAGAAGAAAACATAGGCACTAAACTCTTTGACATCCCCGTTAGTACTATTTTTTTGGATGTGTGTTCTTGGACAAAGTAAACAAAAGAACAATAAATAAATGGGACTACAACAAAATAAAAAGTTTTTACACCGTGAAGAAAACTATCAACAAAACGAAAAGGCAATCTACTCAATGGGAGAACATATTTGCCAGTGATAAATGATAAGGCATTAATATCCAAAATATATCAAAAACTTATACAACCTAACACACACGCGCGCACGCGCAATTCAATTAAAAAAATGGGCAGAGGACCTGACTAGACATTTCTCCAAAGAGGACATGCAGATGGCTAACAGACATACGAAAAGACACTAAAAGTCAGTAATCATCAAAGAAATGCAAATTAAAACCGCAATGAAGTATCACCTTGCACTTGTCAGAATGGCTATCATCAATAAATCAAAAAAAACAACATGCACTGACACCACATAATGTGTGCTGGTTTGGGTGTGTGCATAATTTCTACCCTGGAATAAGGTTTATAAACCTTGGCTTTGCGTCATATCCAAAGGGGCCCTGTTGAGTTGGCTTATTCCTGAAATAGAGGAAAAAGCCATTCAGTTAAGCAGATGCTTCAGAAGGAGTGGGAGAAATATGGCAGGTACCTGCTGGAGAGGGTTCAGAAGATACCCATTCTGAATGTAATTCTTAGGTTTATCCCAAACCAATCTTAGGATTTTCCATACATTGGCTTTGTTTGACCCTCTTTTCTTGAAGGTTTGTAAGTTAACCATAGCCTGTCAAATGTCCCAGTTTCAGTGGAATCTTGTATTTCTGGTTTATTATAACAAGAAATTGTTCTCTCAAAAAACAAACAAAAAAAAAAAACCAACAAGTGGCACCGAGGATGTGGAAAAATGGGAACCCTGTGCACTGTTGGCGGGAATGCAGATTGGTACAGCTGTTGCCTAACTCAAGGAGTTCCCCACTTAGGGGGTATTGATTGTCATTGTCTGTAGGTAGTTTTATACTTGGAACAAGTGAAGGAGACAGGGAATTCACATCCTGAGCTCTGTCTCCCTGAAGGGAGGCTTAGCCATAGCTTATATTCACTATTTGGTTAATTACATGTTGATTTCTTGTTTGCAGCTGGCTACACTTAATTGGTTTGGGTTCCTGTCAAGTTCATCCTATTTACAGCAGCATCTATAAAATACTGTGCTACATTTTGACACTTAGCAAGAATGGCATTTAGGAAGAACTACCCAGACCTTGAGACATTTGTCCTACCTAACACAGCCAAGATGGAAAATAGTATGTAGGTTCCTCAAAAAATTAAAAATAGAACTACCCTATAACCCAGCAATCCTACTTCTGGATATTAATCCAAAGAAATCCAAAACATTAATTCAAAATGTTATATGCACCCCTATGTTCTTTGCAGCATTATTTATAGTAGCCACAATATGGAAGCAATCTAAGTGTCCATCATTAGACAAGTAGATAATGAAGTGCTACATAGATACAATGGAATATTACTCAGCCATAAAAAAGAATGGTATCTTCCCATTTGTGGCAACACGGATGGACCTAGGTGTTATGCTCAGTGAAATAAGTCAGACAGAGAAAGACAAGTACCATATGATTTCACTTACATGTGAAATCTGAAAAACAAAATAAACAAACAAAACAGAAATAGACTCAGATACAGAGAATAGACTGGTGGTTGCCAAAAAGGAAGAGGGTTAGGGGTTTGGGTGAAAAAGGTGAAGGGATAGTAAGTACAAATTGGCAGTTATAAAATAGTCCATGAGCATGTAAAGTACAGCATATGGAATACAGTCAATAATATTATAATAGCTATGTATGGTGGCAGGTGGGTACTAGACTTACTGGGGAGATCACTTCGTAAGTTATATATAAATATTTAACCACTATGCTGTACTCCTGAAACTAATATAATATTAAATGTCAACCATAATTGAAAAATATTTTTAAATTTTTTTAAAAGATCAAGCCCTGGGTTGGGTGTGGGAGGGGAGCAGTTGTTCTGGCTCTAGTCCAGCTCTGCCCCTGACCGTGGCTCTCAGAGGCATGCGAAATAATTTCTGAGGCTTAGTTTCCTCCATCCAAAATGAAACACGAACACCCGTCTTGCAGCAAAATATAAAGCTGAGATACACTGGGGCTGGCAAAAGAACTTTATCAACTATAAAATGCTCTGCCCATAAAAGGTACTGCTATTATCAAGTAGTGTTTTCTCGGGAATTTCACCGAGTTGGTTGATTTACTTTCCGAAAGAACTGGCACTTCCAAGACTGGCAATGCCCCACTGCCCACTGCTTTCCTCTAATCCCAGTTCGCGGGAGAAAGTAGAGCTGAGAGGAATGAGGGGCAAGTTCACCTGTGTTTCCCTGTTAGGCCATGGGATCAGGGGATACACTACCACCTGCGTATTCATTTCTACCCCAACTTGTCATAGGATTTAAGGTGAATTCCAGTGTAGATAATTGCTTACCCATGGAGAAGCAGGAAAAAGGACCAAATGTCCTTGTGTCCCTTTCTTCTATGAGACCCCGGAACACAAAACCACAAAAATGCACATGCTGCAATGAGGAGCAGAGAACTCCCCAGAAGCTGACTGGGCCAGGCAGGCCCCCGCTCTTTTCATCCACCTGCTTCCCACAAGTCTACTGAAGGGCTTTGGGGCCCACTGTTGTCATGGCAATGCCGACAGAACAGTGAAGGGCAAAACCTCAGCAGTCAGAGGCAGACCCCAAGAATTCCTGTCAGGCCACACCCCTGTCAGAGCCCCTTTGCCTCTCAGGGACTGGTTTGCCCCAGATTGCTATGGTCTGCCTATCTTGCATTCCTCAACACATAGTCCCACCCACACCACTGGCTCTTCAAAGATTGTCACACTCTTCAGGCATATGGTAAACTGAGGCCCAGGGTGGCCAGCTGCTTTGTTCAAAGTGTCCCATAGGCAGAGCCAGGCCCAGGAGTCAGCCACCAACTCTGCCTCATGAAAAGTCGCCTACCAGGAGCTGGTCGCTAATCTTGAGCTTTTCCATCTGGATCTCCCGCAGAGGCCTCTTGAGCAGGGCCCTGGTCATGGCATTCTGGGCTGTCATGCGTGTGGCTATGTTCAAGTCCTTCACAGTCATCACTGACAATACTGGGTCCCAGATGCGGAACTGGACATCGGCCCCCACTGACAGCACAGCCCCATCCTTAGACGCCAACTGTTAGGGGAGGCCATGAAAGAGGAGACGCTCAAGGGACTGAAGCTGCAGGGAGGTCAGACCCACTGATCCACCCACCCGGCTTGATCCACCCACCCGGTCACTAGCACCTTGTGGACAAAATGGTTTCCCCAAGTACATGCGGTCAGGTATATGGAGCAAAGATGAGCTCCTAGTCTCCATCCTCAATTTTCTGGTCTCCTCCCTATCCCCTACCCCCTGCCCTTAATGGCTACTCATAGGCCAAGGTACTGGCACCCAGAATACACTCTATACAAACCCGAACTCCCTCTGTCTAGGTAAGCCGAGAAGCCCCTCACCTTGCAGGGAGGGACATTGAAGGCTCGTGTCCTCAGATCCACTCTCTGAAAGGAGTCAATGAAGGGCAGGAGCAGAACCATGCCAGGCCCTTGAGGGGTGCAGATCCGGCCCAGTCGAAATACGATCATCCGCTCATAGGTGGGCACAATCTGTCAACAATGGCAAAGGAAGGGTTGAGAGCAGTGAGCCCAAGCTGGCAATGACATCTGCCCAGGGCTCCCCCCTTATCTCTCTCCCCCTTTTCCTGGGCAATGTCAGCTATCCTTAAACTCTGTTTTTCAAGGAGAAAACCAAGGCTCTGAGAGGCTAAGTGACTTGCTCAATAATCACAGTCCCTAAGTGAAATAGGCAAGATCTGGGTGCTGAATGCTCTCAACTACCATACTGTATTAGCTTCATCCTCAGAGAAACTTTTCATTTCTGTGGCCTGAAGCTAGGTGTGACTCAAACCAGAAACCTGTCTTCTCTTGAATTAGTTAGAAGCAAATTCTGGGCTGCTCTATGAGTAACCGAAAGCAAAGAGCTTTGCCAGCTCCAGGTGCCTCGAGTCCTCAAAGAAGCAAATACATGCAAATTGAGAAATGAAGGCCCAGAGAGGCAAAATGAGTTGCCCAAGGTCACAAATATTTCAGCGGCAGTTTTAAGGCTAGGATTTAGGACTTTCTCAGGAATTCCTTCCAGACCACACCAAACCCAAAGGCTTTTTAGAAGAGCTGACTGTGGCCTAGGGCCACACAAAGGCCTGCCTGGGCTAGCACTGCACTACAGCTTTCAGGTGTGGTCCTCAGCTATAGTTCATCCTCTTCCCATCTGCACCAACCCCCATGAAGACGAGGCCAGATTTCTTTTCACTCATTATCTGCTGGCCAACTTGAGTGTTTTTCACTTCTAATTTAGCCTGACCTGAAGGTAAGAAGATGTGGCAAAAATATCTGCGTGCACCTTAACAAGATTATCCAGAGCCCATCTCTTGGTAGTTTGGTTCCCATGTGACTTTGGACAAATCTAAGTCTCAGTTTCCTCATCTGAAAGATGGGAATGAATAATTCTCACCCAGCTCATTTCACAGAGGTGTGATAACAGATATTTAAGGGAAGGAAGCAGAAGGTAGAAAATTCATCCATCAATGCCAAAGCTCTCAGTACGGCCCAACCACCCTGGCACTATCCCAGTCAGCCTTACCTTCAGGGCAAACCAGCCAGAAATGGGGAAGGTGATCAGCAACAACAAGAATCCCAGGAAACTAATGAGGCCGTGGCAGAGGCAAGAGGGCCAGGTCTGAGGTGCATCTGAGACAAGAGAACAAAGGCAGTCAAGGGACACCACTGGATCTGCCAGGACAACTACAGACAGAGTGAATGTGGTCAAGTATACCTTCGGCCCACCTCGCTTCCTTCTCAGGGCTCTCAATCTGCCTCCTCACCTAATACTCCTATATCTTTGGGGAGGTGCTAGTTAAGGACTGTTCCCTCCTCCCACACATCAAGACTAATCTGTACCGCCCTGGCATGGTGGCTCAGTTGGTTGGAGCATCCTCCCATACGCCGAAAGCTTGTAGGTTCTATCCCCAGTCAGGACACATACAGGAGGCAACTGATCAATGTTTTGCTCTCACCATCAATGGTTCTCTCTCTCTTTCCCTTCCTCTCTCTCAAAAATCAATAATCATATCCTCAGGTGAGGATTTAAAAAAAAACAACCTAATCTGCCCAAAATCCAACTCTCTCAAGACTATTCTCTGCTGGACAATAGTCATTGTATCTGAGAAGCAAATAATGTGATGCCTTCCTCACTTGGCTGAGCAGGAGCAATCTTCTTACATCGTGCCTTCCCAGACTTGGCACAGAGCCAGGAGCACCTGGGGCTCTGTAAACACAGGCCAGCTTAAACTCAAAGTTGCTGGCATAACACACCCCTCCTCTCCCACCAGCCCTAGAAGTGTGCTTTCAAGGAGTCGTTTGCCTAAAGGAATAAAGCATTAATGGTTCAACAATAGAAGCCATAGGTGAGGACTAAGAGGTTCTTTTCTAGCTCACAATTCTTTACCCCACTTTAGTGCCCTAAGGACCACCAAATGCATGCTTCACTTAAAGAGCTTCAGGTAGGAGGCGGAGAGGGGGAACTAAGATGATGAGGCTCAGCTGAGCCAGAAGTTCTAGCCCCTGGAGAGCCAGGAGCCCAGGATGGGAGTGAAGCTGAGACAACCTCAGAATCTGGGATGAGATAATTCCCTTTTCTCTTTCCCTCCCAACCCTGGACAGGAAGCAGACAGGAGCCTCTGCCCATCTTCCCAGTAATCCCACACTCTCTAGGCACTCTGAGTTCCAGGATACTAAGTCTCCTTTCCTGCCTGGCTATGAGCCACATGGCCCCTGCAGAAAAAGAACCCTTAGATGGGGCAGCTGTCACTGCAGGAGGGTCAAGGAGGGACCAAATCCTCCAGAATTCGGTTGTCAGGCTGAGGAATGTGGGACTCAAGGCTTTGGGGCACGACAGGGCCAGAGCGGACACACAGGCAGCTGAGGGCCTTTTTAGCTTGCACACCTCCACCAGGAAACGGAGGTTAAGTACTGAAGCTCAGGGAATCTAGAGATGCGTGGGGTGGGTGGGGGGCAGTGAAGATCCTGACACTTCTCTGCTGGCAAGTGCCCCTGGCGTGCTGACTACCTTGTATGCCTAGACCTTTGTTTCTCCGTGGTCAAAATCGGAACTTGAAACTTCTGCCCAGGCCTAAAGGGCTGATAAAAACCGAGGAGGAATGAGGTGGGGCGAGGCTCCTTGAAGATTAGAACTCCGGGGCTGCAGTCCCATAGCGCTAGAAAGGGCAGATCGGCGCTGGTATCCCAATGCTGTACAGGCCCCCTCCCGCTCCCTCCTCTTAGGGTGCGACTACGCCAGACCAGCTAACTTCTGAGAGGAAGAGAGTTCGGGCCGGGTCCCCCCACCTCCCGCGTCCTCCGTGCTGGGGGTGGGGGCGCCACTCACCAGCCCCCGGCCCGACGCCGCCGTGCTCCGCCAAGTAGTCCTTCTGCGGGCCCAGGAAGCCAAAACTTGACTGCTGGAAACGGTCAAAGTCCCCCAAGGGCAGCGCCCGGTACCCTGACCTGCCGACCATGGCTCTTGACACGGGGTTGAGGGGACACATCCCGCGCCCCAGACGTGTCCGAATAGACCTCAGGGCCTTTGCCCCGCTCCGCCCCGCCCCGCTTAAGCCCTGCCGGCCACTGCTTCCGGTTTTACCTGCGCGGCCAGCGGCGGCGGCCCAGGCGCAGAAGGCGGAGGCAGGCCGGCCCTGCTCCCGCCGTCGCACATCGCCACCTGCGCTAGGAGGACCGAACTGCAGCCGCAGGGCTGGGAGGGAGTGGTCTTCCTTCTCGGATGTCCGCAGGCGTTCTTGACTCCTCTGCTTGCTGCCCCTCGGCCTTAGAGAAGGATCAGGAGAAGTTGGCTTTGAAAGGGATTTTTCAGTAGCCGACTTATCCAGAATCAAGGAAATGGTACCATTCCCTCTCCAAACTCAAGTACTGTGGTGGGGCTGTGTATGCTGAGGGGAGGGGAGTTGAGGGTGGGAGGGTTATCTAGAATTACGGTTTTTTTCAGGGCATGGTCAGCAAATTATTCCACTTTGTGTCCCCACAGCCCAGCAAGCAGGGCCTGGCAGAGAGGATCTCAGTACTTTTTTGTTGACTAGGTCACTGTGGTCAAGGTGGGGCAGGGGGGCCTGAACTTTGGCACAGAAAGAGAGAAATTTCGTGTGCAGACTTCAGGAAGCACAGCAGAGTAATGAATGAGGGGTTTGTACAGAGATATTACAGGGCAGACCCTCCAGAGCACCCTGAGGTGAGATCTCCAGTCCTGGAGGTCCAGAGATAGCACACCTCTTGATTCAGTTACACAGAGGTAATTTATCTCTCCATGGCTTGAGAAAACCCAGTGTAAATGGGGGAATTTGCTCTGAGAAGCATTAACTTCCAATAGGTCTTTGAGGCAAGCTGTCTCCCATAATGAGCAAAGAGGTTAATAAAGCTTTCCTTGTCTCAGCCACATGCCAGTCTGCCTCCTCATACCCTTCAGCTCCTCAGCCAAAGCCCAGTTCCAGGTCCGTTCTGTAGATAGTTGCTCACCATCTTTGGCTTTTCCTAGTTCGATGGCCTGATTCTAAAGCCCTAAGGGTCCTGATCAGGCTGGAGGGCAGAGCAGGCTCCTGAGGGCTAGCATAGTCCCTGGGAACTTGGTTGTCCCCCACCGCTCCTCTGTTCGCTCCTTCAGACTATAAGCCTTTATAGGAGCAGAGCCCTGTCACCATCCCATCTAGTCTGTTCTGAGCTGGAACTGAGCACAGAATAGGTACACAAGGGTCAGTATATTGGTTAGCATGGCCCCAGTGAAGCTACCTAGAGCTACACTTTCTCCCCTCACCAAATGGGGGTCTGGCATGCTTCTCTGCTGGCCAAGAACTAACTTACTCTCTCCTCTCTCTTCATACCTGGTCTCCAGCTCTTCCTGTTCCCTTCCTATCCCCCATTGCCTAAGCTTCACCCACCTTTCCAACTATCACCCAAGGCATCAGCCTGTTCCCCTCTTCTCCGCTTGATGTCCTCCTAGTGTCTCTGACTCAGGTCCCTCCTTGCATTCCACAGCCACTGTGCTAGAACAGACCACCTACCCCTAGATTGTCAGAGTGACTTTCCTAACATGCACAATGGATCACATTTTTCTAGGTTCCAAACCAACTCTGTCATCCACAAAACTGGCCCATCTCCTTAGCTATGATCTTGCCCCACACTACTCCTGGGCGGACATTGCTCATGGATCCCTCTTAAATCAGAAAATAACCAAAACTAGTTTCTAAACAGGCTGTCCTGTTTCATACCTTCATGCTTTTGCACTTACGGTTCTCTCTGTTTAAATAGCCTTCCCAATCTCTGAATCCCTGGTGAATTTCTACTGTTTCAAGTCCCAGCTGAGAGACCGCCTTTCTAGTCAGTCTCAATACTGTTGAAAATCTCCTTTTTGGGGCCTACCCTTCCACTAGATCTGGGATTCTTCCAAAGCAAGAGCCATGTGTGGCTCATCTCCGTGCTCCGAGCTCCGAGCTCGGAGCTGGCACAAAGTTGTGTCACTGTGGGCTGGTGAAAGGTTCAAAGCTCAGGGCGGAGCTACCTCCCCAACATCAGCTCTGCCACTTTCCCATCACCCCAGGTCAGCTATGCGACTACTGTTCTTCCGCTCTCTGCTCCCGGCCCTGGGAGTGTCTTCAAAATCCACTGCCTGCCTCTCCGCCCCTAGAACCGCCCCCAGCTCCTGTCTCACTTCCTCTCGGGAGACTGGCCCTGAACTGGCACCTCCCCTTTCGGACAGCTCCGGAAACTCAGCCATCTGGCGCACAGTTCTCGTTCAGCGTCTCCCGTTCCCCAGGATCAAAACTGAGAATCGAAACTGCGCTGGGGGTCCATGCAGCAGGAGCCTACACCCGCGCAATCTTCGGGGTCCGAGCAGGACTCCTCACTGCCACACACGCCCACCATGCCTCCCCCCGAGTCCTTCTCCAGAAGCAACCAGCACAGCCCGGACCACAGCCCCACCAAGGTACTACTGGGTTTAGCGAGATGGGGTTTAGGCTTCGTTAATTCCCTGTGGTGGAGGGAGAGGCAAGAAGGGAGGAGAGGCAAGAAGGGAGAGGGAACTTGGCCAAGTAACAGAGGGAAGACCAGACCCTAGGGTTCTGACCCTCTTGGCTGGAGTAGGAGTAGGGGAGAGTAGAAAAAGGGACCAGGATGAGTTAGGGGAGCCTCTCTGGGCTGCTCATCTCCAGTGATTAGAGGCACGTGGGACCCGACTCTCACCCACTGGCTAGCGACTTGCTTCTTTGCCCCCCCACCCCGCTCTGACAAGGCCCCAGGGCAGCAGTCTTACTGCCTCTGCCCTAGCGTGGCTCTCGACTAGGAAGCGGGGGTGGGAGGAACGTTGGAAAAAGCAAAGCCCAAGTACCACATCAGAATGAGAAACTGGGGCCCGGATAAGAGGTGAATCACTATTAAGGCCTCGCAACCCCGGTGGTTTATTCTCCAGGAAGCCTTACATACCTGTCTCCTGGAACACCCTGCCTGCCCAACCCCCATTCCCGAGAAGGTTTATTAGGTTTTCCTTCTGGAAGCTTTGCCTTAGTCTTCTGAACAAACCCCCAGCTTCCCATCACCAAAAGGAACTATTTAGATCATTTGCTCTATGTTCTTCCAGGCCCTTTTGAAAGCACAAATAACACCAATTGCAGTAATTTGTATTATTTGCATAATTACATCTAGAAATAATATTGCTTAACATTACTAGTTAGTATTTAAGAGCTCTTCTCATGTGCCACGTACTGTATTAAGCACTTTTTTTGCATTTTTAAAAATTGTGGTAAAACATACACAACAAGACTTGTCATTTTAACCATTTCTAAGTGTACTGTTCAGTAGTATTAAGTACATTAACAATGTTGTGTAAGCCTCACCACCATCTATTTTTTTCATCACCCCGCACAGAACCTCTGCACTCTTTAAGCAGTAGCTCTTTATTTTCCCCTTCCTCCAGCCCCTTGTAACCTCTGATCTACTTTGTCTCTGTGAATTTGCCTACTCTAGATATTCATGTAAGTGAAATCATATATTTGTCCTTTTGTGTCTGGCTTAGTTCATTTAGCAAAATGTTCTTCCATTTTAAGGCTGCATAATATTTCATTGTCTGTACCACATTTTGTTTATCTGTTGTTAATGGACAGGTAAATTTGGGTTGTTTCCACCTTTGGCTGTTGTGAATAGTGCTGCTCTGACTGTGGGTATATAAGTATCCATTTGGGTCAGTGTTTTCAGTTCTTTTGGGTATATATCTAGAATGGAATTTCTGGATCACCTGGTAGGTAGTTCTATGTCTTCCTTTTTACTGTGTCTGATGGGAAGTAAGAGTTAGAGTGGGAAGGCCTGAGTAAGTGGGAAATCAGGGTACGGATAAGCCTCTGTCTTGCATCATCTAGTGACTGCCTGGAATGGATTATGAAGTCCCATTCCAGCCTCCAGCCACTGGGGTGGGTGTATGGTTTTGGGGGTGGGGAGGGGGAGAAGAGGGGAAGAGGCATGTGAGTGGACGTGGGGGGATGTGGACTCCTGGGACTTCAGGCCTCACCCCTCCCTTCTGGTCTCCAGCAAGCCACGGAGGAGGAGTTCCAGTTCCTGCGCTGCCAGGGCTGCCAGGCAGAAGCCAAGAGCCCTAAGCTGCTGCTTTGCCTGCACACTTTGTGCTCAGCATGCCTGGAGGGCCCGAGTATGCAATGTCCTATCTGCCAGGCTCATCAGTCCCTCGGCACCAGCGGGCAGGCCCTGGATAACATCTTCTTCGAGAGTCTGCAGCGGCGCCTGTCGGTGTACCGGCAGATCGTGGATGCACAGGCCGTTTGTACCCGCTGCAAAGAGACGGCGGACTTCTGGTGCTTCGAGTGCGAGCAGCTCCTCTGTGCCAAGTGCTTTGAGGCGCACCAGTGGTTCCTCAAGCACGAGGCCAGGCCCCTGGCTGAGCTTCGCAGCCAGTCGGTGTGCGAGTTCCTGGATGGCACGCGCAAGTCCAACAACATCTTCTGCTCCAACCCCAACCACCGCAGCCCTATGCTTACTAGGTGAGCCAGCGGTCTGGCCAGGGTGGGGTGGCGCATCCAAGAGGCTGGCAGAGGGTGAGTGGGGAGCAGGGATCCAGAGTCACAAAGCTGAGAATGTGGGACAGGAAGCTTCTAGGGTCTTACAACTCCAAATGTGGTCCACAGACAAGTAGCATCTGTAGCAATGACCATAATTTATACTGTGTCACGCTAGTGGAGCATAATGGTTCCCGTTTTCCACCTGTAGTCAATAATACTGCAAAATCATCTTTGCACCCTATTCAGTAATTCCTTTAGAATAAATTTTTTAGAAGTGCCATTGCTAGGTTAAGAGGTATGAAGCTTTTACATTTTGATACACGTTACCAAACTGTCCTTTAGAAAGTCTTACAGTGGAATTTTCCACAAGCACTACCATGGGATCTTGGTATATAGCCAGATTCTAGCATGAGATAGATGCAGGTAGTTTTTGTCTGATAAGTCAAAACCTAACATTGTGCTATCTGGGAATGTATATATGGAAAAAACAATCAACTACAGTTACCATTATTTTTATTAAGCAGCACAAAATTTTAAATCATTTTTTGATAAATAATACATTTATATGGTTCAAAAATTACAAACAAAACTTAATGTGAAAAGGAGGAAGTCTCTATTCCTCTCTATAATCTGCCTGATTCCCATCACTTCTCCCTTCCCCAACCAGGTAGCCATTGTCCCTAGTTTGTAAGGTTTCCAGAGTTTCTTTGTGAATATATACAGGGATAGAAATATATAGTCTTTTGAGGTCTTCTTTTTACCCCTTTTTGCCAAAGAGGTGGTGTACATGTGTGAACTTTGGGACACCCTCCCCCAATAGATTGCTTGTGCCTTGTGTGCTTGCAAAGTGAAGGTATTGTGTGCTGGTGGGGGATTCCCTCAGAACCACATTCTTGCTAAACTGAGCGGGGCTCACTTCCTGCTCCGTGAGCCACCTGTGCTTCCCACACCCTCCTGCCCACCTTCCCACCCCCGTTCCTCAACAGTGGATATTATCGTTTGAATTTGGATTTCTTTGCTTGTTTTTAAGGTTGAGGTTCAGTGGCTTATCATATGTTTATTTACCTTTTTTTCTTCATTTGTGAATTGCCAATTTAGGTCCTTTGCCTTTTTTTTCCTCCTTGGAGGAATTAATCTTTTTAACTGTAAGGGCCTGTTCTAGTGCAACATGAGGTACCATTGTTTTAAGTTTTTAGTTTTATGTAGTCCAGACCATCAGTCTCTTCCTTTATAATGTCTGGCTTTGATCATCCTAGGACAGATTTTCTTCCCATGCAAATGTTACAAATATTTTCTTATACTCTATTTTAATGATTTCATGGGTTTGTTTTTATAATTAAATATTTAATTCAAATGGCATTTATTTTTGTGTGTGGCATGTATTATGGCAAAAGCCTTCACTTTGCTTTTCTCTCCAAACGGAAAGCCAGTTCTCTCAACTTTTAATGAGAGATTTTAATAGCCCACCGTTGCCCTGATCTGAAATGCTCCTTTTGTGTACTAAATACCCCTGAAGTCATGGTTACGTTTATAAATCTCTGTGCCAACAATATGACTATTCCTATGCTAACCCTGCTATAAGGAGTTCTATAGTTTTATATTTGATAGGGCAAGTCCCTATTCAAAAAAATTTGCTTTTGTTTTTTGCTCTTATGCAGTTTTAGAATTTACATATTCATTGGAATTTTGATTGAAATTGCTGTAAATCTAGGAAGAATTGGCCTCATCCTTTGGGTTTTATAGTTTTATTCACATATGTATTGAACTTTTAAATTATAGTTAAATTTAGAATATTTAATAATATTGTGAATGGAATCTTTTTCCATTAGAATTTCTAACTGCTCATCATTCACTAATGCTCTTAATTTACATGTATTAATTACATCTAGTCAATTATATTGAATTCTTTTATTTTTGTAAGGTTTCAGTTGGTTCTTTTGGATTTTCTAGGTAAACAATCATATCATCTACAAATAATAAAAACTTTTTTCTTTTCAGTATTTATACACATTACTTCGTGGCTTTGTTTCATTGGTCAAAACAATATCGAATAATAGTGGTTAGAAAAAGCAACTTTATTTTATTCCTATGGTTCATGAAAAATTTTCTTATGTTTTCTTGTTTAGTATGATGTTTCTTATTGACTTCCTTAGGTAGCTTTTAAAAATAAAATTAAGATAGTTTCCTTGGGCTCTGGCCAGGTAGTTCAGTTGATTAGGGCGTTGTCCCTATCTGCCAAGGTTGCAGGTTCAACCCTCAGTCAGGGCACATACAAGACTCAACCAATGAATGCATAAATGCATCAATAAATGGAAACACTAATTGAAGTTTCTCTCTCATCAACACAAAGAAAGTTGCTGTCCTATTGCTTGTTTTACTAAGAATTTTGTTGTTGTTACTTTGTTTTATTTTTAACAAATAAAAATACTTGTTAAGCACTCAGGAATGAGTGTTGTTTTGGACTCTGAAGGTTTCCTTTCACCTTTTAGTATGATGAATTATATTAATAGGTTTCTTTATGTGGAACCATTTTTTAATTCTCAGAAATCTCTATTTGGTCATGTTATACTATTTTAATTCATAGCGAAATTCCATTTATAACAACTTATTTAGTCTATAATGTATATTTATAGACATCAATTTTTATGAATATGTGTGGTTGATCATGTTTTTGTACTCATTTTATACTCATGAATTTGTAAGCTTTTCTTTCTTTCTTTCTTTCTTTCTTTCTTTCTTTCTTTCTTTCTTTCTTTCTTTAATCCTCACCCGAGGACGTGCTCGTTGATTTTAGAGAGAAGGGAAGGGAAGGAGAGACAGAGATAGAAACATCAACGCGAGGGAGAAAGGTCCACAGGCGGCAACCCGAATGTGCAGCCCAACCAGTACCAAACCACAACCTGCATGTGCCCTAACCAGGAATGGAGCCTGTGACCTTGTGGCTTATGGGACAACATTCCAACCAACTGAGCCACATGGGCCAGGGCTAAGGTTCACTTTTGTGAACAGGATAATGTCCGTAAATTACTTAGCATAGTGCACATGTTAACAATAAATGTTAAAATCTTACCTTTCTTACCCTTTCTCTGCTCTAGAACAATTTAAAGAACATAGGCAATTAAGGCTTATAGAAGTTTCTTGAAAAACTATTTGAGACTGGTGCATTTTTTGAAGAGCAGGTTATTTTTCCATGGTACTGATATTTTGGATCTTGACTCAGCTTTTCTAGAACATTTTCTAGTAAATTCTGAGTTATCTTTTAAAATTTAAAAATCTCCTCTATACCTATAATTAATCTCCTGTCTTATTTCTAATCTATATTTGTGGTTATTTCAGTGATCCTTTCAAAGTGCTAGCTTTTGGTCTTATATTCCTTATTAAAATTAATGTTTTATTTTCAAGTGGCTTGTAATATTTGGTTTCTATATTTGATGTTAATTCCTTCAGTCCAGTCACTTTCCTTGAACTAATATATTCCTAGGACTTAAAAAATACCTGTATTCTTTATAGAGTGCACACACATCTATATATACACACACACACATATGTGCAAATATTGTATCATATATCTGTCTTTGCTCTTAAATTTTTAGCAATCATTATTAGAACATATTTGTGTGCGTGTATATTTATCAACAGTAGATTATCACTATTCTGCTAGCCAAAATAAAGCTATTAGCATATTTTTTCTTATCCACTTTTTATTTTTCCTATACCCAGATTTAGTTGAAATAACATAAAATTTTAGTTCTAGATTATAGCCAAATTTGTATGCCTTTTATGTCTTTTCTATTGTAAGCATTCTTCCTTTACAGTTATTAAATGTCATAGTCACATTATAACTTGCTTGTTAGCCATCTCTTAGATTTTAATTTCTCATTTGGGTGAACTAGTTTAAGCGGTTTTTTGTTTGTTTGTTTGTTTGGTTAGAGAAAATTTACTTTCTGAGGCCTTATATATCATAACTTGCATGTCCTTGTGCTGTCACACAAAGGAAAGTTCAGCTAGGTGTAAAGCTCTGGGGTCACCATCACAATGCCTTCATCTTGGGATATATAAACATTGCTTCATAAATTTCTGACCCCCAGTGTTGCAGACAGGAAACTCATTTATTGTCCTTTTTTTTTTTTTTTTTTGTGGGTAATCAGGTTTTGTTTGCTCAGGGTTTCATATAATTTATTTTTTCTTGAAATGATTGATCAAGCTATGTCAGATATAGGTCTCTTTTTTTTTAGTGCTCCTCTATGACATTGTTGATCTGAAAATTTAAGTCTTTCTTCAGCTTAAAAGTATGGTCTTCTGCTTTTTTATATATTGACTTCCCTTCACTTGCGTATTTTTTTCCTTTCAACTATTATATGGATATTGGGGCTCTAAATCCATATCTTATATCTTCTGTACTTTTTTCAGAAATTCTGTTACTTTGCTTTTTTTCTCCTGGATTCTCAGGGAGTTCTTTGATTGATTTTCTAATTTATCAATTCTCTCTCTCTCTCTTTTTTATTTTTTTAGGAGACCCCTTTCTACTATTTACTACCTATGATGAGTTTTGTTTTGTTTTTCTTTTTTTTCCTAAAGAGTTTAGTTATTTATTTTTAGAGAGAGGGGAAGGGAGGGAGGAAGAGGAGAGAAACACCCACGTGGAGAAAAGCATCAATCAGCCACCTCGCACATGTCACAACTGGGACTGAACCTGCAACCCAGGCATGTGCCCTGACTAGGAGTTGAACCAGGCGACCTTTAGGTTAGCAGGACGATGCCCAACCAACTGAGCCACACCAGTCAGGGTTTTTTGTTTTTCTTAACAATCATGTTTTTTTCTTGCCAAAAAGGTTCATGTTCTCAGTATGATTTTTGTTGTCAGCCTGTTCTTGTTTTCTTTATATAGTATGTTCTTTAATCTCCCTAAAAAACAAACTGAGAATTTTTAGATGTTTTATGTTTCCTATATTACTCTTTTTTAAGTGTGGGCTGAGAATCAG